AAAGGCAACATACAAAACGGCCAATTCAAACGGAAGCTCGAAACGAATTGCCGATATAATCTGTAAGCCTTTTGTTATCAATCATCCGCGCCCGTTGCGAGAAGATGACGAATGACATCCACAACTAGACATGTTGAGCTTGTGATGATTCTCAGCAAACCCGAGTAGAAACGACTGCTTCTCGCCTATACCAAATCAGGTCTATGTATGTCTATCGTATGTGCCATCATCGCAACATTTCAGCGTAGGCACTGGACTGGAAATGGCAATATGCGCCGATGTCGCACCAGTTTACTGATAATTGCCCGACGTTGCCGTTTTATCCTCTACCGGGATTCTGCTCACAAGCTTTGCATATCAGGACGGACTCGCTGAATAGCCTTATAGAAATGCTATTCGACTTCGAACTACTCTCCTGCGTCATTGTTATCGATCCGATCTTCAGTGCGGTGGGAACTACCTAGAGTGGACTTGATGATCGGGAAATTTCGTCGATCAATGCATATTCTGGAGTGACGTAGGTTAGGACAAACTGAGCCAAGCCAGATGGCAAAGTCCTCGAATTGCCTTCCCGATTGCTTTGCTATCAGGCGAATTGTGTGATCGATGTGTTGTCAGTCTCTCCCGGGTAAGTGATGCGACAGCGCCAGATCGCGTGGTATTACTATCACATTTGTTGCTGACGACGTAACTTGTGGCGTTGTTCCTGAGCTTGACGACACCTGGCTTTGTAGGACTATCAACCTTGGCGGGTCAATGACATGCTCAACTGCATTCGAGCGTTAACGTCATCGACTTCGACACTAACACTGTCCAGTGTTTGGAATCATCGACATGCTTCATCAATATCGTCTGAAGTATTAATTCATGAGACCTCACAAATCAATACATATGATAACATCGTCAAGCAAATCGGAATCTACGGGTTTGTCTAAAACTGCGAGTGTCGATGACGGATCCTTCGGAGCTTGTATGTATTGCTGCTCCTAATAAAGAATTGAGAACTGGAAATCATGCCTACCGTGTTCCTAGTCTGTTTCCCCACGTTCTCGGTAGATCGGCCACTACGAAATCCGTGAGCTGTGCAAAGACTGTCGTGAGTGTCCCCACGCTGATCTGATCGGATTGATACGTAGGTGCTTGTCTGGGCGTGCATGTGGGCTCGGCATGTTTCGTGCACCCGAAAGCGAAAATTGTCCGCCAGAAAGTCAGTCACAAGGACAGAAACCCAACCAACCTGATAACCTTACGGAGTACTTCGCGGCAGATACCCTCGTACGACCATGTTTTCAAGATAATTTGAAATAAGGTAAGTAGTAGGTTCACAATCTTTAGATCCACCAAGGGAGAGTAAATAAACGGATTCATCGTAGTTTGTAGAAGCTTCTCACTCAGCAATGATATTATCAATACTCGGATTAGGAATCAGTCTCGCAGGGTTTTCAGCGCTGATACGCACACACCCTTGATCAACCTCGGCCGAGAAGATGGCGGTGGAATTGACTGACAAAGCAGATTAGGGACCATCCCCTTAATGAGCCAAATTCGGCATGGGCCTGGAAGGCTTCCACGCTAACGCATATGTCCCTGGACCTAAAGCCTGAGCCTCAGACGGGTGCTGGCTGGCGGGCTTCTTTGAGCCTGAGGTCGTGACTCTCACCAATCTCCGCCCTTTGAAGCTGTGATGCTGACTGTGTTATGGACAACCTTAACCACCAGCGGTCAATGGTCCGCACACGACCGATGAGTTCTCGCCAATTATGGTCCTCTGCGTGAAGCACAGTCTGCGCCTTGTGTCATTTACAGCAGCTGTTGCGATGTGTCAATCGGCATGGGAATACGCGGAATTCAGTCGGTGTTAAACCCTTTTGAGTACGAGTTACGATGCACCTGTTCTGAGGCCTGATGAGTCAAATGATATCAAATCATCCAAGCCAGGATCCATGTCGAAGGAAATGCTTCGAATATCGGCCGAAGCCGTGTTCATGGACGTATTGAGATCGTTTCTCAACCTGCATCACATCCATGGCTGGAACTTCCAGTGGAACATGAATCGAAGAAATCTGCATCCAATGAATACCCCAAGGCGTTGTCAGACACCAATATAGACCTATTCGTTAAATCCACGATTTGAATACCGCCGAGCTGGCTGATGTTGATTAGCAAGGCACCATACGACCCATCGTGGAGCCTCTTTCGGTGATGGAAGCGAAAAAGAACGAAAAATATTTCCAGAAAAGCGGAGTATGGAAAATCTGTGACTCTTGTCAATCCCGTCATTAGACCGCCCAGCGGACAGTCACAGATGGTTAGTGGTCGGCGACCTCGGGATTCAGGATAGGCCGGCCCAGTCCGGCAATAACATGGCTTCTTCTAAGTCGGCATCATCTTGGACCGATTAAGAGGCCGTCTTAAGGCTAGCCGTGTAGCCGAGTTAAAAGAGTGTTGCAACAAGAAAAGAGGGAATTAAAGCTAATACAGGGCTGCCTTTACGGATATTCGGATTAGATGTAATAAACTTTGCTTACTTCACGGCATACGCACAGCAAGGCTAAGAGCTACTGTCTGCCTACCTTACCTATGGAAGTACTTATGATGTGTTTGGTGGAGAAATACCTGCGAGAAAAGTGTTGCCTAATAACTTTTTGGAAATAGGCAATCATAATATACAAACATACTAGCAATACAGCAGGTTGGTGCTGACTTGGATCTCCAAACTACAAAAGCGAGAACAGATTCAGAGTTGCCTGGTAAAAGCTTATCAAGTGACCATGAGGCACAGATGGTATAGGGATTTGGGTTACTTCTTGCTCGTTATCACTTAACATAACGGTGGTGATTGACAGGTTTGCTGGCTATTATTGACTCGTATGTACTCTGTACAGAGTACCGTAATTCGGTCTTTAACAACAAAGCCGACATCCATGGATGGATTAGATGGCGGCCGACTGAGCTCAGCCCTACGATTGATTACAGCGATACGTGGACAAGGACGTACATACATCCTCCCCGCGGACTACGCCAGGCCTGGGCACTGTGAGCATAGTGCGTTGTTACTGGACGATGCCCTCCCATGGTATGCTCTCTCGCTTTCGCTTACGTTCGCTGTCTGGAACAAGCTCACCCTTTCGCAGTATGCCCTATGATCCCTTGGCTGCTGACGACAAGCACATGAGGCGGAGTTATGCCTCAGGGTTCACAACAGGAAGGAAGCGGAAAACGCAATCTGGACTGATCAATCAGCCACTAGGTGAAACTCGCCAACATTGACGTGGAGCATACTCAAACAGTCGTTATGAATTTATTAGTTTTGACGAGTCGTCGGCCCATAAGCATCAAATTAAACTAGGCTGGGCTCAGCGGGCATTTACTGTAGACTGTAGAGGGACTGGAAAGTGTGTAGGTCATCCTCCCTATCATCGTGACAGGAACTTAACTTTGGAGGCAGGCACGGGATGCAAAATGTTGTCTTGGAATTGGTCTTGATGGATGCATGGAGATAATACAAATCCCCGTCCGTATCAGTATGTTGTTGCTGAGCCAGCATGCAGTGTTTGTAACTCAGCGTCACACCTCGATCTCTGCCTATCCCATCTAGGAAATCGACTCTGCAGCAAGAGTCATCGCCGTATCGGTGTCAGACATGATCGCGACACCGACAGGGCGCAAAGAACGAATAAGGTTCGCTCAATGCTGAGAAATGCATCTGCCTTAGGTAAGGTTCCTGAAGAGCAGGCTTGTAAATCCATCCTCGGATTTGTCGTGGTTCTAGCGGAGCTAGGCGGACATGGTCAGATTAACGACTGTGGTCGGCTGAAGAGTCAACGCTAATGGCACCGGGTTTCTAATCAAACACACATTTGCAGGCTGCTTACGGACCTCGAAGGCCAGCCTGCGATTATGAATCGCCCACGCCAGCCCTGTGTGAAATTGCGACTCGAAGCGTGTGCTGGCAGTGCTTACCTTACAGTTGAACATGTTGCGATCTGAGTTATGGTGAAAGTAATGGGTTTGTTGCGCCATTGAGAAGAGGATTACGGTTGCTACTGTGACACTGCCAGTAAGACTGAGATTGGTACTGGAAGTCGGTGTTGATAGCCGGAAAATGCAGTCGCTGTGATAACTCTAACAAAGTATTGAGGGACACGGCATGGAAGAATCCAGGGCAGTGAACCTCCGCCTTCCCAGCTCGGATACACATAATACAGGAGGTACCTGCGCCGGGGCCGTCAAGCAGCGGCCTGACTGAGGTACCCAAGCCCGAGGATTGACATGGACTTCCGTAACGTCCGCCCGCTACACCGGGGCCGCGGACGGGGATGTTTCGCTGCTGGATTCGTGTCAGTCATGTCATCCAGTAAAAGACAGAAAGGTACAGGGGCCATGTGCAAATCAATGTGCCGTGGGAGCCTTTTGGGTGGATCTTTCTAAGCTTTCGCGGCTTCGCGGTGTCTAGGAGTCATCCGTCCACACACACCCGTACGTATCCATGTCAATCATCACTAAGCCACACACCCTTCGAACCTTGGCCCTTGCTTTGCAATGGGGACTGTGGACATTTCTCGCACTCCTCGGGTCCGCGTGCGCAAAGTCCGCTTAGCGGCGTGTCGGGCATAACTCATAATCCCATGCCACACCCGTGAGACAACATGAAAAGTCCGTAAAGGATCACTGGAGTTAAAAGATTCGGATCCCCCCGTTTCAAGATCCATCTCTTTCACAACATCAATCAGATAAACACAACATCATCACAACAACTACGAATCAGCCTCGAAAGCTTCTATCAAGGTCAACCATCTCCACATTCGTCTCAGACAAACACACGGACTCGACTAGCACCTTATCACCTAATCCCATAAGTCATTGTCACCACAGCCGACATCCCTGCCGCTAACTTCAAGCCTGCCGCAATCGGGATCGCTGCCTTGACTCACAACATCAAACCGCCATTATATACATAGGACAAAGACCCCTACCTTATCTGGGCCCTCTTTTTCACCATGTCGACTACAACAACAACAACCACTTCTATTCATAGGCCAACTGCCTCCAAGACTTCTTCTCTCCGACAGTCCACGCTCAAGAAGAACATGTCTATCACACAAACTTACTACCTCGCCCACAAGGCCCGAGCCAAGCTCTCGCGTGAGGCTGCTCAGCCCGATCATGACCTTCGACTGCTTGTCGGTCACGCCAACCTCCTCGATTCTCTGATGCTCGAGCTTGCCGACGCTGAGCGAGAACAAGAACGGTGGTTCAACCAATCTGTACGAGGAGCAACCAATGCTCAGCAAGAACGAAGGGTGCAGTGGGACGACAACATTGTCGAAGAAGAGGACGAGGATGACTACGACTCAGACTCTTCGGACTCTGACGACTACGATTCAGAGGACGAGGATGTCGAGATGGCCAATACTTCTATTCCCGTCAAGCCCATGAGCCCACGAATCACACACATCGAGCTCGACGAAGACATGGAGGAGGACGATCTTGAGGAGGACTATGCTCAGCTAGAGCTTGTTCGAACACCATCTCACTCTAACTCACCACCCGAGCTTGTCGACCACGACTCAGATTCATCTGATGATGACTCAATGCCCCCATCGCCACCCCAGTCCATCCTGACCTTCGATGAGAAGGATGTCAAGGAGCAGTCGCAACAAGAACAAGAATCCAATTCACTCTACGATGAGGAGTACTACCTGCCACCTCGAAACCCTGCGAGGCTTGTGTCGGCCATCTCGGTCTACTAAGCGGGAAACTCATTTAATGATTGATTTGTGATTTCAGCGACTTGTTTCATGCACAAAGCGATGGCGGCATTGCATGGCGTTTACTATACAAAGGGATACCACACGGATTCGGATACAACAAAAAGCATTTTTGCATTTTCTTTTAGTTATAAAGCATATGACTTAACGGATTTCATTGTGTCATTACAAAGAAGGATTTCACCACTCTACGAAGGACAAAGAAGGGACTGTACCAGACAGATGGGAATTGGATATTATCATGATTGGGTCCGCTCCCGACACACGGTTGAGTGGTAGCTTTCGATAGGCTTCGCCCCAATGGTAGATAGCTCAGCAAAGGAGGCTTTCAGTAGCCCAAAAAATAAATAAGAAAAAACATTGAAAACTATCATATCATTCTTGAATCTCCTTGTAAATTGTGAACTATGCTATGCTATGCCTCGGCCAGCAGCCGGCTATCATGAATGGTAGCCGGCGTTGACGCCATACTCGCCGGTCGATATCCTTATCAGCGGTAAAAATTTCGTGATAACTGAGAGTATCGGGATCGGTCGCAAGCCCAAGTCCGATCGGGGTGTCTTTGGACCAACAGGCGGTGCCCGTGAGACCCGTCAAGGGCGTGCGGAATCTTGGCAGTGCTACACCGACTCCTCCAACACACGCCCCTTTTGCTCTAGTTATAGAATTTTCCCCTTCGATTGCGGTGAATGATTCATCAGCTAGGCCCGTCCATCATGAAAGACCTTGACGTCCCAACCATCAGGGTCCGTGATACCCAATCACGATGCATGAACTGTACACATTGGGGCGTCTATAACGGTCGGGGTTTTGTCAGCGGAGACATTCAATTCTCCATTCTTGCCATGTCAGCGACATAGCAGTCGAAGAAAGGCTCGTTTGACATCCATCATGACAATGACTATCAGCGGACAATACCAAACCCCGATGGCTGGAAACGGCAACACCAGGGCGCAGGAGCATGTCCTGTGATGACAACAAAAAGAAAAGAAGAGGCACAGGCAAAAATTACACACAGACAAAACCCCCCAGGCCGCATAGCCCGCCCGCCATTTCCATCCCTTGACTGAAGAAGAAGGACTTACGACTACAGGCTTGGCGGAATTATCAAAGCATCCCTGAGGTCCGAGGAGTCATTCAATGCCCAACATTACAATCTTTTTATGCTTGGATCTTCCACTAACGGTAGTTTTTAATCATCCCCCACCAGCGCATCGCCGCATCGAGCCTCAAATGGGTCCAACTGGATCCAGCGTTCCACAGGTGGTGGTTTTCTTCAGACTTTTTCAAATATTTTACGAAACGTCCACATAGACAACTCAATCGTGAACAAGGATAGAACCATGCACAAAATTTGCGTATGCGGGTCGTATCCGCTTTGGAGTCGAACTCTTTAAAGCCCTACATACGTACAGCCGGGCAGCCCGGGTCAGAGCTCCATTACTTGATTACCTTAGGCAGAGACAATATGCCCAATAGCTTATGAATTCTCCTGTCCGATGAATCACGATGAGGCGGACCTGGGAAAGAAGGGATGCGAGTTTTCTTTCTTGTTCCTTAAAACTCATGAACACGTTTCCCGGCCACTCGATCTCGTTACCCACTAATATCCTCTCGTTGCTTCTTGGCTTTCTTAGCCGAGAGACTCGCGGCCCCATAATCTCAGGTACATACCATTCACCATGCAAGGGCCCAGGGCGTATCTTGCTCAAGCAAGCTGAGCTGACCGCTTCTGGGCCTCTCACCGATGGCTGACCTGGCAGGACAGCACTGGACAGGACATCGTACAGGAGTAAGGTATCAAACACGTACTATGCACCTTTGTCGACTCGGTTTGCGAATGAATGAGCCCAGCTAGCCCCTTACTGGTTTGATAGAGGCGGTAAAGGAGAATTGACTGCTTCATGCTTGAACGAAGTGTCTAGACTGTCTGCCATGGCATTATGTATGATTATGCACGGTCTTCTTCACAATAACCACGTAGCTGAGAAGAAAGGGAAGCTTGAGCCTTCGTGTTCGGAAGCATTGTCCATTGAGCTAAAAGTCGATCTCTGAGTTTGGGGGAAAACCGGGGCTCGATGGAAGATCACAGATCATGAGATTGATAAGACCAGATAGGCCCTGCTCACTGCTTATCGCTCGTTGCGCATATGCGTATGCTACAATACTCAGCCTCAGAATGCAAGAATCGTATGAGAGAATGGTGAACTCGTCACATACACACAACTATCAACATAGATTCTTCATGGAACATTATGCGTTTTCTGGGTCTATATTGCGCGTTCTCTGCAAGCCAGACTGGCCCATCTCTCGATAGAATTCACACAAGGTCCGATACGGACATTGTTGGAGCCACGGCGTCGTATCGGCCGGCGTTGGTCGGTCACAACCTCACAGGACCTGAAAATGGCCCACATCTTTCCGAGCAATCCCGGGCCGAAAATCGGACATCAGGACCGCATCTCATTGGCTCTTCAGATGTCATGCCATGGGGTTTAGACGAGTCCGGGGAAGTGGCCTGTGTGACCGAGATAGACTTGATCTCATGCCGAAACACCTACTGTACCTAGGCTAGGGGAGGAAAGAAAACACAAAACCTTGACCCTAAGCGATAAAAATGTTTAGGTAAATTCAGCCTAAGTTTAGGGGATCTTTGATAAGTTTATTTTGGCACCCTAGATCAAGGTCCGGTGTTTTCTTGCTCCCCGAGGCTAGGTAATAGACCTTCTGTTATCGGGACTGCGGGAGCAAACCAGGCGGGTTTGATAAGCTTTACTAGTTGATGCTGAGTCTAACATAGGGGTCTGCTGATCAATAGCAACTAGTTGAATGTTATCTATTGCCAGTCTTGAGGGTGAGCTGCTGACCTACTGGGAGAGACAACTCAGTATGAGGCCAGCCAGTCAAAGGGCTAGGGTTCACGATATGTTTTGAACAAGAGCATCGTCTAAGCACCATCTCTTGGCTATTGATTCCATTGTAGATCTTGGAGTTCTCGTAAATATTGCTGACAACACAAGTTGCTCACGGCTACAATATTCGTCAAGAGCCATTAGTTATTAATCATGAATAGAAGCCCGTTCCCAGAAGCTCGGTAATAAGGAACAAGCAGTAAGCTCCTCCGCATGATAAACTTCGGACTTGGGGAATTTAAATGTCGATCTTGTTGTTCTCGTGGATTGCCAAACTCCGAAGTCCGTAAGCGAGCCAAATGCACGGACCAACCGTTGTCAGTACGTCATTGTGTAGCTTTTCGCAAATCAAATCAGTTACCTTTTCAGTGTAAAACATGTCGACGTCTTGATAAAACCGCACACTTGCTATCATGCGACTTGTCCCGAGGCGAGTCCTCGCTCACGATCTTTCTCCGGGCCTCACGTGCCGTACTTACCGGCTGCAACGGCGCCAATACGCGACTTCGCTTTCACCTCCCCCACCGCCTCTTTCCGGATACACATCGTTGGCTTCACGAAGGCTCATATCCGTCACCGGCCCAGACTCAGCAAAGTTTCTGCAGGGAATTGTGACTGCCAACGTGACCACGAGGGACGGAAAACCGAGGAGTGATGGGTTCTATGCCGCTTTTTTGACTGCGACTGGCAGAGTACTCTACGATGTGTTCATCTACCCAAATCACAATACTTCGGGAGCTTCGGCCGAGGAGCCAGGGTATCTGATTGAAGTTGATGCAGACCAAGCGTCAACGCTCGCGAAACATATCAAGCGTTACAAGCTCAGAGCAAAGCTAGCCGTTCGCTTATTGGAAAATGATGAGGCAACAGTTTGGCATGCGTGGGACGACTCAACTTCTGCGAACCCCAGCTCAATCGTCAAGTCGGGCAAGTTTTCTCTCCAGGATCCAAGAGCCCCTGGTCTGGGGTATCGGCTACTGCAACTGGATCAGCACCCTCCCCAGATCGATCTCGAACCAAGCACTCAGGAAGCTTATACAATACGAAGATACCTAAATGGTATTCCCGAAGGTCAAGATGAGATATCTCGAGAGCATGCTCTTCCTCAGGAAACAAATATGGATATTATGAAAGGAATCGATTTCCACAAAGGCTGCTATGTTGGTCAGGAACTTACAATCCGCACTAGACATCGTGGTGTAGTTCGCAAACGAATTCTGCCCTGTGTAGTCTACGAAAAAGAGCATGCACCACCGCCAACACTTCAGTATCACACAGACGATACAACGTCTTCTCTCGAGAGTGTGACCGCAGACATGATACCACGAGACACAAGCATCGGACGATTTGAGAAAAGAGGTCGAAGCGCCGGCAAGTGGCTTAAGGGTGTGGGAAACATTGGGCTCGGGCTGTGCCGCCTCGAGATCATGACTGATGTGACACTGCCAGGAGATGCGGCGTCGGGGGCTTTCAACCCAGAGGACGAGTTTGTCCTAGATTGGGGCGAAGAGGAAAGCCGCAATACAGTCAAGGTTAAGGCTTTTGTGCCGGAGTGGTTGAGAGAAGGTCTTGATGCGGAGAATCAGAGAAATGAAAAGTTGAGCAGTAAAAAATAAAGGTGTGCTGTAAAATACTGTATAAATACAATAAGTGTATGTCTCAAATAGGGACATATCTGAACATATTCATTAAGCTTCTTTCTCAATCATCGCCAACCTGTACTTTGTTCTTGAGACAGTGGCCGCACTGTGCCATGAAAAGACGGTCCATGACAGTATCATATTATTACAGTACTACGGCGGAACAATCAGATTATGCGATCCTCCTGACTACGTTTCCTGGACAGGGCAACGGCCGGAACAGTCCGTTAGAAGGCATCCTTCAGAGGTGAGTTCACTTTGGAGTGAAGCTGTTGGTCCGTGTAGGACGTTGATTGCTTGTCCCAATATACTATATAACTTATATGTGATGCATGGCGCAAGCTCACACTGCCACCAGTCATGCATGAGTCCTTGAATTGATCATCGCACTTTAAGCCTTTTAGATTTCTTTCAGGGGGTTGTGGCTGTGCATAGAATTCGAGTTGGAGTGAAAACCGAACGAATATAGGTATCTAAAAATGCAGACCAACAAGAGTAAGGACTGAGGTTATGTTAGCCAGTGAGAAGGCTAACTAACCTGGGCTACATTACCTAGTCTGACATAGACTCAGGGACAAGATCATCACGAAGTTGATCACTGAAATACGTAGCAAATTAGCCCTTACGCATTAGGTGGATAGATTGTTGGATAAGGGGTTCAAGTCGCTGCGTTTGCCCACTCTAGCAGTTAACAGGCAGTAAGCAAAAGCTTGCATTGCTGCGGACCCAACTGTGTGCCATGGATATCTCCTGCAAGAGCCCATTCGCTGACTTTGATTAGTCTTGCAATTGAATTAAACCAGCGAAGCGACGTCGAATTAAGTACTCCTGCTGCGACCTTGGCTTACTTATATACAAACAGGAAGGTTGAAATTAACCCTTGGATCGTCGTCTGACTGTACACTATGCAATCTCACGAGCCTCAGCCCTGTGGTTGAGACCGGGGATAGTCTTGGCCTGTCGCTTAATTTATCTCATGTATGGTAAAGTTCTCAGGAGCCGACATTTGACGGCTCGGTGATGCATTCGTGAGTCTTCAGCCTTCTTCATTGTTTTCTGCCGTTCAGGCCTTATTTAATGGTCGAAGCTGCCGTGCTGAATTTCTGCATCGGTTGACGATACCTTCTCTCTCATTATTTTCTTGGCGCCTGAAACACACGGTCCCACGGGCGTTTGTATCTCTACGATGGCGACAGAGACTGCCCCTAAGACCATCAAGCGGTTAATCGCTTGTTGCGATGGCACTTGGATGGATAGTGACAATGGCTACGAAGAAACCGGCTTGCTAAGAAAAGAAGGTTCTCTTCAGATACCTTCCAACGTTACTCGAATATCCCGTTGTTTTGAGAAGAGGTGCAGCGATGGCAAGCTTCAAGTTGTCAACTATGAGTCAGGTGTTGGTACAGGCAGCAACGTACTCGATAGTATTACTGGCGGTGCTTTTGGTATGGGACTCGCAGAGGTGAGGGTGTCGGAGCATTATAATGAAGGATGTTGGCTGACCATTTCTTCTAGCGCATGCGGGAAACATATTCGTTTTTATGTTCCAACTATATGGATGGCGATGAGATAATACTCGTTGGTTTCTCCCGAGGTGCTTTCACAGTCCGTTCTGTGGCAGGCATAATCGGCAATCTAGGCCTACTCACACGAGAGGGTGTTGAGTTCTTCTACCCTATCTTCAAAGATATGCAGCATTGGATGGATGATGATTATGAAGATCCATTCCCTAACATTCCGTTCCCTGATAAACCCAAAGGGAAGGATGCTGCAGACGTTTACAGGGCTCGCTTGGAGCAACTCGGCTACACTCGTGTGAGGCGGAGTGAAGGACAAGGCGACATCATCACCATCAAAGCAGTGGGCGTCTGGGATACCGTCGGTAGCCTCGGAATTCCTAGAGTCTTATGGCTGGAGAAACTGGGAATTCGGGCGGACAATGATGAATAAGTTTCACCTCTAAATCTTCAAGAACTCGGGTTGCTGACCAGCTTCTTACGTTTAAGTGGCATGACACAAATCTGTCAGATAGAATCGAACATGCGTTCCAGGCCCTCGCCCTGGATGAAACAAGGCCCCCCTTCACACCAGCAGTCTGGGAGAGGCTCCCGGAGAACAAATACACAACTGATCTCAGGCAGGTATGGTTTCCTGGGAATCATGGTAACTGTGGTGGCGGATGGGAAGACCAGAGCATGTCAAACATCACACTTGCATGTGAGGATTCTATACAGCTTATACTCAACAACCTTGTACTTGAAAACTAACTTCGAAATAGGGATGATGGACCAACTGGCTTCAATTGGGGTTGAGTTCGACCTCCCTGCACTAGAACGATGCTTCTTCCAGAACTTCAAATTCTGTTGGATAACTGATGCCCTTGTTTGTATGTATTT